AGCAGGAGAACCTGGTTCTTCATTGGCTACAGTAAAGCTAACTGATGAAGACCTGACTGATGAAGACCTGGTCACATGACTGATCTGACATGGTTCTTCTGCTTCAAACAACAGGACAAATGTAAGGTGAATGAGGTTCTGATCCAGACCAGGATGGTCCAGAACAGAGAGGCTGGAGGAGGAGAAGAAGGAGGAGGAGGAGCATATTTATGTGTTAAAAAACTGACCTTTGGTGATCCACGCCACCAAATCCTCTGCACTGTTCTGGAAAACTCTCTTCACATCTTCAGGTCTCATGGAAACTTCTTTGGTCTGGATCAGAACAAAACCATTGGCTGTGGCCTGTGGACAAGCAGCAGCACAGACAGTCAGTCTACAGTCTGAGATAGTCTATAGACCGAGAACGTCTACAGACTGTCACATTACTTATTAAACAGCACAAACTCTGATCCTTTTGAATCATGCATCTGACCCTGACCCCGACTCTGACCCCAACCTTGACACAAACAACAAACCCGCTGTAAAAACTAATTCAGGAAACTATGATGGAAAAATCCAAAACTAATACAACCTGGACGGACACACACACACACTTCCTGTCAGTCTCTCACTTGGTCGATGAGTTTGCGAGCATTGGCGGTGGCGTATTCTCCAGCAAAGAAGACAAAGAGACAGGACTCCTCACTGTCCTTGCGGCGCCCTCCTTTGGTCAGAGGAACAATGCTGCGGTCCGGCTCCGTGGAGATCCGCACCGCCTTGAACTCCGACTCGGGGTCGGGGGCGTGGACGTAGTCCAGAACGGCGGCGTTCTCGGGCAGCAGGCTCCAGTTGTTCTCTCCAGACACAGGCGTGAAGTCGTGGACGTTGCTCCAGTTGTTGTTGAAGATGCTGAGGCCGGCGTCTTTGAAGTGGAACGCCAGTTCTGGGTAGAAGAACTGAAAGCAGCCAAACTTCATTCCCGTTGATGACTCGATGATGGGCTGCGTGGCACAAGACAGGAAGACGTCCATCTTTTTACAGTCGCGAGTGCGGAACTGCTGACAGGCCACCACGCACCTGATGTCCTTACAGTCCCTGAAAAAGATGCTGCCTTTGACAGGGCCCAGGACGATGCGACAGTTGACGCAGTCGTCCACGGTGACGGCGGCCGAATGGTCCAACACGTAGATGTCGCAGTTCTCACACTCCTGGATCACAAACTGCTGGCCGTTGAGCTTTCCTGGGAGTCGACCGACCGTCACGTCTCTGAGGCCCGTCAGCATGAAGTCTTTAGGATCCACCTGTCAACACAGACGGGGTCAAAGGATCATCTATAGTGACTTATAATGTCATTATTACAAAGGTAGACTTGGTTCTAAACCCCTGGCTCTGCCCTGCACAAAAGTCTGTGAAGAAAATAAGTGAGAGAATCCAATGCAAGCTGTTCACCAGTAGGCGGCGCTCGGACCGTCCTCTTTCGGTTAAACAAAAAAAATCCTGGTTTGATGTGTTGTCAGCTGATTAGGACCTGTCAGTCACATGATCTGATCACGTGATGTGTCTGTCTAATCTGATAATCTAATTGTGACTGAGGTTTGACAGGAAACTCACATTCACTCCTGTTTATTTCCATGTTCACTCTGCTCAGCTACGGTTTAAAAACCTGTGAAAATGATCATTTGATTTCTCTTTATTTCTTACTTTTTCTCGTTTGTCCCAGCTGTACTGTTTGGGAGCTTCGTCGCTGTTGTTTCCCAGCGGAATCGCGTTGCTCGTCGTTGGTTTAAAATCATCTTCTTTTTCTTCTTTTCTTTTCGTGGATTTCTTGGAGAAAAAACAGCCCATTTTCTACTTCGTCGCTTGTGGTGGAAGAGTTCGTTAAAATGTGACGCCGAGAATCAAAAATGACGGAGATTAGCGTCTTCTCCTTCTGCTTTAGTTTGAGCTTCCCGTTTCCACAGTATCCTCTAAGAGCCAATCAAATTGCACGCCGTACATCGCCATGACGTCGAGCTTGAGGCGTTGGAGGAAACGCGGACAAACGTCAGCAGAGTTGTTGTTGTTGTTGTTGCTCCCCCTGCTGTCAGGTTGGAGGTGTTGTCTTGTTTCAGATGATTATATTTTATTATCGTTACATATGATCATTGTACACGTCATTGTACACGTCAGAGTCACTGGTGTTTGAATCTCTTTGGTTGATGTTCATTTTAACACCTGGAAACTCAGTGATATAATGATGATGATGATGATGATGATGATGAAGATTAACATTTTTACTTTCCTCATGTTGACATAGCTTGTATGGACAGCGCCCCCTACATTTCTCTGGGCAGTGTGTTTCTACACAAAGTCATGATGCAGAGACCGCGGAGAGGTCATGTGACCTGTCTCAGGAGCTGAGGGTCACCATAATACACACACAGACACACACCCACACCCTATCCAAAGAGTTTCCGGTATCTTCCGTAGGCTGCCTCACTGATGAGCACTTTAACGACGGCCGTGCCAGCGTCGGCGTTGACCTGAACGTCTTGGACAGCGCCCTCTCTGTACAGCCAGCTGAAGAAACACGACAGACGTTAGGAACGTTATTGATGAAAGACACAGGAATTCTGCAGCGAGCCAGGAATTCCACACCTTAACTGTGGAGTGCTGAGATCCACGGGAATATTCAACCAGCGACTTTTCGCCAAATTCACCACCTCAGCCTCCACCGCCGTCTTCAGTGTCTCCAGGCCACGCCCCCACAGAGCAGAGACAGGAAGTGCTGAGGAGTCAGTGCACTGATAACTGAACACAGGAAGGGAATGAGAGAAAATCCAGAACAATCTGAGACACAAGTCCAAATTCAAGGATTAACGGCTGAGAACGTTTGGAAAAAGTTAGAAATCTGGATGTTTTTAAATAAAATATAGAATATATACTTATATATATATACACACACACAAATACATGTGTGCATCTAGAAACAAAATAAACGTATATCTTATTTATATTTCAACATATTCTACACATGCCTAAAACTTTTGCACAGTACTGTGTTGGTGCGTTTTCTCCGTACTCCTGAATGAGGTCTGTTTTGTTGTGAACTTCAATGATGGAGCTCATCAGTCTGTCAGGGACCTCCAGGTTCTTCAGGACATTCAGGACATTCATCTTCTGATTCTCTGTCTCTGGATGACTGACATCTCTAACGTGGATCAACAGATCCTTAAAGAGAAGCAGGGTTACAATTCATTTTTCTGACAACTGAATTTTCTCCATGGACTTTGGTCTGAACTAAAATCACTGATTTTCTCCATGAGGTTTGGTCTGGTGGTGGCGGCACAGTGTTGACGTACTGAGTGTTTAATGTCCTCCAGAGTAGCAGAGAAGGAGTCGATCAGCTGATGCGGCAGTTGTGACAGGAAGCCAATAGTGTCCACGTACAGGACGGTCATGTGACTGGGCAGCTGACCAGCATGCACGGTGACATCCAGGGTGGCGAAGAGCTGGTCTTTGGGCTGGAGGACGGCGTCTCCGGTCAGAGCTTTTATCAAAGTGGTTTTTCCTGAGGAGACAAAAGGAGGAACATGTAGTGCTGTGGTTCACTGCTCCTGCGCCTCCTTCTCTTCCTCTGCTCCTGTTGCTGGCTCTCACCGCAGTTGGTGTATCCCAGCACTGAAACCACAGGAAAGTGACATCGTTGGCGCCGTGACCTCAGCAGTTTCCTCTTCCTCTTCAGTTTCTCCAAGGCCGAGCGGATCTTCATCTCTCTCTCCTTCAGCAGACGTTGCTGGACCTCCCACAGCGTCTCACCTGCAGACACCAGTCACTGCCTCACACCCTGGCACCACCCCCGCCCCCCCTCCGCAGTTTGAATGGTGGGTGGAGACTCACCTGAACCTCCGATGTACCTGGCCCCGCTGCCCTGCTGGTCCATGTCCGCAAACTCATTTTTTAAACGTGACCTGCAGAGATACAAGGAGAAAACGAGGGTCTGTTAGAGGGGAAAGAGGGAGGGGGCTCCTCCATCCCCCCCTTCTTCCCCAGAAGGTGTTTGAACCTCAGCAGAGGAATCTCAGCCAGAGAGATCTGTAACTTGGCTTCTCTGGTTCTGGCATTGGTCCTGAAGATGTGGAGAACCAGTGAGTACCGGTCCAGGACTCTGACGCCCCACACTTATATATACTTATTCTACATGGAGCAGAGGAGCAGCGTGAGGAGCAGCGTGAGAAGCAGCGTGGGGAGCAGTGTGAGGAGGTGACAGGACAGAGTCTGACCTGAGACGCTGCAGACAGACGATCCACGTTGACCAACACGACGGTGACTCCTGACGTCTGACGGATCTTCTCTGGAGAACAACAACAAACAGCAGCACCTTTGAATCTCCACTGAGCCACAGGACAAGCATAACCTGTGTTCCTTTCAACCACCAGGTGGCAGATTCAGCCTCACCTCAGGGGTCCAATGAGATAGCAGTAGACCATGAAGAGGGGATGTATAAATATATTTCCTTAGTGTGTAGTAGTGACCATGCATTGGAAGAATTGAATCAGACTGTGCAGTACAACTACATGTATTTCATCAGTACCAACATATAATGTTATTAGAGTATATTGTGTTTATAACGTCGCTGACATCAGCCTGTAGCTCCAAATGTTCTGACTGTTCTGACTCTGGTGCAGTACCACTCTTCTACCACACTGATGTGAAGTGCTGCTCTCTGACTGACAGGAAGGGGGCAGTACCTGACAGTAGTTGGAAGTTTCCTTTGCCAAAGATCCTCTTCTTTTCTGGTGTTTTGGTGGAGACGGCGACCTTTTCCACCACCCTCCAGTGGTCCAGAGTGTGGACCAGAGCCACGGCTTCATCCATCATCAGCTCTGCTGCAACACAACCACAAGTTTGTTTGTTTGTTTGTTTGTTTGTTTGTCTGTCTGTCTGTCTGTTGTACACCGGTCTTTTCTACCCGTGGTCTGCTGCTGCTTCCTTCTGCTCCACTTCACATCTGGCTGGACAATGAAAACTTTTTGCTGCCCCACTGCGGCGGCTGCTGGGAACTGCACTTCTTGGAAAAGCTCCTCAACCTCATGGTCATCAATCGCGTCGTCCTCCTCAGTGTCGCCCCCTGTCGGGGCTCCCCCATCAAACACGTTCGTTTTCTTCAAACAGACAACCGAGCACGCAAAAGTTCTGGTCACGGTCACTCCAGCAGGTGGCAGCAAGAGTTTGTGGCAGCCGACAGACGTTGTTGAGGGTCTCATCGAGTTGTGTTGATTATAGGTGACTCCCTCTGGTGGCAGCACGTAAGAACTATGGCGCAGCATCCATCGACAATAGCAGCGTTGGGCGCGGGCCAGCAGTAGCGGGAAACACGTGACAATGCCCGCTCCAGTCATGGCGGTCACTCTCCTAAGTTTGTTTAACTTTAACAAATATTATCAACGTTTAACGATATTAAACACGCAGCGGGTGCTATCACGCTAACACATGCTAACTGACCGCCGCCATTTTGTGTGTCCTTCTTCTTTCCAGCTAAATAACCTAGGGTTATACTGCCCCCTAAAGTACAGGCGGTTATTATTTAACCGGACAAATCACTGTTTGTTATTCCGTTTTTATCTACCACCTAATGGGGACGCGGACCCCAGCGGTGAACGCTTGAGGGCGGGGTGTTATGTAAGCCAATCAGAGCTGCACAAAAAATAAAAACAGAACTAAAATACTGTGGAACAGCTAAAATCATTGAGTAATGGATAAGACGTCACTTCCTGTTGATGAAACGTTTGACTGTTTACACCGCAGCACTTTTTCTACTGTTTAATTGTCGTGAACATCAGAAGCCAAGGGTTGAGAACCACATCAACAACATGAATCGTTTAATGACGTCAAACATTTGAACATTAACTCCTGTCTATGAAAACTTTTCAACTAAAGTCTGCTTCACTTTTGTAGGGACTATTTCTCACCACACGATGGCAACAATGTCTGAGAGAAACAGGAGCAGAAACAATGTGATAATCACATGAAATAACATTTTGACCTTAATGTAATAATTTAAAATAGAAACAAAGAGACGTTTCCTTCATCACAGCAGAAAAAAAAACTGTGTTGAAAAAAAAAAACAACAGGTTCAGACGACGACAACAACGGTGATGAAGAAGAAGAGTCAGTGACGACCTCCACAACCAATCACAGACGACCAAGTCTTTGATTCTGCTGAATCACACACATCCTTCCATCATTTCTCTCTGATTTTTCCTCTGATTTCGTTTCTTTTTGATGACTTTGATCTTCAGACAGGTCTCTATCAAATCTCCTCCTCAGACTCCGCTTCTCTCCCTCGGGGCTTCAGCAGTCCCATCTCCATAGGTGGGGGGTTCTTTAGTCGGAATCGAACACCACTGTAGAACAAAGACAGAATTGCAGTTATGAGAAAGTTTCACTAGGGGTCACTTCAGCAGAGAAACCCAACCTCGTAGCAACAGTCACTTCATTTTATCATTTGGTCAAACTTTGAGTTGACCTTTGACCTTGAGGTCTTGGCTAACAAACAAGAATGCACAGCAGGTTTATCTACCAGCTGGTGGCACTGTAGAGCAGAGCTACGATCAGCATGGAGAAGGCCAGATGCCAGGAGTAGCACATGGTGATGAACATCATGTTCCCCACATCCTTCTGGTCCCAGTCGGCGCCACCAGGTGGATACAGCACAAAACCAATCTGTGTCCAAATACATGGAACTGATCACATAGGGAACTTTTTGTTATAGTGAGATAGCGCCCCCTGTCATTAGTACCTGCCAGAACCAGGTTCCTTGTACAACTGTGAGGCAGCAGCGCAGCAGTTCTAAGATTATGTTACCGCGCTGGAAAACCTCTAGGGCGGCAACGATGGCCACTCCAAAGATGGCGTAGAGCAGCAGCTGGTGCACGTGGACGTCCAGCGCGCTCCTGCCGTGGAGGTGGTACAGGAACAGGAACCCTGGAACCACACAGGAAAAAAGAGTTCCAGTAGAGTCCCTGGAACCATTGGAGACCAAGAGTTCCAGTAGAGTCAGAAGCCTAGCGTAGCGTCTCTTGCCTTCATTGAAGAAGGCCACAGCCAGCATCAGTCGGTCAATGGCCACAGGAGCGCCCTCTGTGGTGTGGAGGATCACAGTCACCGTGGCAGCAAGACCAAAGAACAGGTACATGGTGGAATGTTGCCAGTTCATCAGGAACGCCCAATGTTTCTCCACCGAGTCGTACAAGTGGAGCCTGGGACCGTTAGCAGCAAACTGTTCTGCCAGGATTCCTGCAGGGGGCACCACAGAGAGCAGTATTCGTGACCGCCAGGAGTTAAAGATCACGCAGTTCATATGGAAAACAGAAACATTCTCACCCACAACAGAGAAGAGGATGACCACGCAGCTCTCTGCCACCTCCAGGCGGCGCTGTGTTGCTCTGCTAGCCAGTCGAAAGGAACCCAGGTTCTTGTTTCTGCGTGTGGCGTGGAGTAGCGCATATTTTCCTGTCCACCAGAGCCCAACCAGGAAGAAGAAACTTCCAGGAAGGGCGTGGCCCTTGAAGCTGCCCATGACGTCTGTTTTCACACCTGAGGGTCGGAAAGAACGGGTTCCTTTAAACAGTTCCAGACCAAAGTGGAACCTGGGCTTCATAGAACATTCAGTGGAAGAACAGCTGATGGAGCAGCGTCTGATCTGGGCTCCTCCTCTGTCCTCCTCCACCTCTGTCTCCTCCTCTCTCCTCTTCATGGTGAGGTAAACACTGTGATCACCATGACAACCACTTCAGTCTGTCAAATGGTCTTTAACAACAGCAGGAGGGGTGAGGGGGGAGAAGGGGGAGTCTCAACGAGAGAGGTTCAGAACAGTCATCTACTGAAACAATTGTTCAACTGGTCACCAGGGGGCAGTGTCACGTGACAGTGCTACTGTTTAAGATAAAAAAAAGTTCTACAGGAACCGAGCTCAGTGTTTTTACAGTAAAAGTTCAGAAAGTCACGTGATGGAGGTTTTAAGTGAAGTGGAACACAGACACACATCAGTTCCAAAATCAGTTCAACTTCAAACAGAAACGGAACGATTTCTTACCTGTGAAAAAGTTCCAAAAAACCAAACGGATTCTGGATTCAGGAGTCAGGACTGCCTCATGTTCGGAGAATCACAGACGTCTGTTGTTCATCCTCAACTCTTCTTCTTTCAGTCACTCTCTTCTCTCCTCTTTTTTCTTCTCATCCTTTTTTTTCCGTTTTCCGCTTAGGAAAAAACAACAAGCACAGACGCGGAACTATTTTGTCTCTGATTGGCTGACTGACAGCTGCGACGTCACACAGTGCAGTCGTGATTGGCTGAGCGCCTCGTCTGTACACGTGTGCAATTTCTCTCCTGCGGTAGAGAAGCAGCGACCTCCAAAATCCAGATCCAGATCCATGTTCAGGACTAGACACGAGCTGCTGCACGTACACAGACCGAACTCTCCAGTCGTAGTCCCGCTCCGTGACGTAGACACTTCAGGGAACACGGTTCTCTCTGACAGACCGCGGTTGATGATATGAAATTATTTCTCTGTTGCAGTTCACCTGTTCTCCAGCAGGATACACTGTTGACTTGTTTTTGATTAGGTTCATGACACAGGGATCGCCAGTGTTTCTCCCACTGATTGGTTGTCATGACGACGGCCGGAAGCGTCTGATACTGTTTGTTTGTCCCAAAACTGATTATTATCACATTGTG